TGTGGGGTCGGGCGGAGCCAGTCCATCACTCAGTCAGCCAGCTGAGAGAAGCGAGACCCTCTCTCAGTCCTCGCGCGAGCGGCGTACTACCATCATCCTCCCCTCCTCCTCCTCCTCCCCTCCTCCTCCTCCTCACCACCGTCGCGCCATCGCTCCTCACCCTCAGCCAGCCTGGGTAGATCCTAGCGCCTCGCGTCCGTCTCATCCCTTTCAATCCAACTCGGGGTGCCTTCATTATCGCACACTGCACTGGCCCCGTTCGACCGCATACGCCCGTGCCCTGCTTGCCTCCAGCCGCGTTCATCGCACCGACCTCCTGCATTTGTCGGTCATCTCGCCTCGATCATCCATCCCACGTCTCTCTGCATCCTCAGGTGCTCCCGCCAGCATCATCTCGTGTGCACCACAATCTTCCGAGCCTCCGTCTGCAAGCCTGCGTCCCTATTCGTCTCCTCCTCGTCCTCAGCTGCAGCCGCCGCTAGCTAGCATCAGCATCGCCTCCTTCTGCGCTCGATTCGACAAACGATGCCACTCGCAACTGCGACTTGATCACTAGTTTCTTTCCATCTTTTCACATCATCGCGCATCAGCTTTCACCGACCAACGGCCCCCCCTCTGCTTGATCTTGCATCGCTCGCCGGTCCCCACCTGGCCTTACAGAATCAATCTCTTTGCCCATATCCACCATGGCCACAACACTAAACGGCGCTTCGCCGTCGCCAGTCACCGCCGCATTCATGTCGCGAACCACCTCCTCCCCGCTCCCCGACCTCGCCTCCCTCCCCTCCGACTTTCTCGACCATCTCCTCCTCATCACACAGACCTTGGTCAACTCAAAACCTCCCCCCGCCGTCCTCCGCGCCATGTCTCGCGATCCCACCCGCAAAACCGAGAATGGCGCCCATAGCCACTTCAATGGCCACGACCTCGCAGACGACGTCGCCTCTATCGACCTCGATGAGCCGAACAACACGCTCGACGGCACCGTCAGCTTGCCTCTGCCTCACTTCACCTCGGCCCACAGCGACGAACGCACAAGAGCCATCGAGGAAAACATCGGCAGGCTCGCTGCCAGGCTGTGGCAGGCAGAGGACCACCTCGAGGTCGTCGCTCGCAGCCAAGAGATCGTTCGCACCCCAGGCGCCGAAGAGGACTCGGCCCAGCAGTCGCCAAAGGACCCGCGCAACCTCTTCTTCGGCAAGCCCTTCCCCTACCCTCTCTCCCACGCACAGCCCCAGAGCTCCAACTATCCGCTCAGCTACCCGCTCGGCATGGGCCTCAACGGGCCCGTCCTTCTCGGCGGTCAGGTCTCCCGCACCGACGATCCCATCGCCTCCTTCGAACGCTACAACGACGAGAGCGGCCTCTCGGCTCAGGAAGAGCTCAGGCTGCTCAAGGCTCAGGTACAGGACATTGCTCGCGTCTGCAAAGCCGTCGCCTTCGGCGACCTCACACAGCACATCACCGTCCCCGTTCAAGGTCACGTCATGGTCGAACTCAAGGACATCATCAACCAGATGGTCGATCGTCTCTCGCATTTCGCCGCCGAAGTCACCCGCGTCTCGCTCGAAGTCGGAACCCAAGGCAAGCTCGGCGGTCAGGCAGAGGTGCACGGCGTCGAAGGAACCTGGAAAGAGCTCAAGGATGTCGTCAACCGTCTTGCCGCCAACCTTACAAACCAGGTGCGCGGTGTCGCGCTCGTCACAAAGGCCGTCGCGCGCGGTGACCTCTCCCAAAAGATCGAAGTCGAGGCAGACGGCGAGATCCTCGAACTCAAGGTCACCATCAACGTCATGGTCGATCAGCTCCGCCACTTTTCCACCGAAGTCACGCGTGTCTCGCGCGAAGTCGGCTCCAAGGGCCAGCTCGGCGGTCAGGCCAACGTGCCCGGCGTACAGGGCGTCTGGAAGGAGCTCACCGACAACGTCAACCGCATGTGTTCCAACCTCACCGGACAGGTACGCTCCATCGGCGTCGTCACCACCGCCGTCGCCAAGGGCGACCTCACAAAGACCATCGACATCGATGCCGAGGGCGAGATGGCGCAGCTCAAGGACACCGTCAACTCCATGGTGGGTCAGCTCCGCATCTTTGCCTCCGAAGTCATTCGCATGTCCATGGAGGTCGGAACCTACGGCAAGCTCGGCGGTCAGGCGCACGTCCCCAACGTCGAGGGCACCTGGAAGGACCTCACCGAAAACGTCAACAAGATGGCCGACAACCTCACCTCGCAAGTGCGAGAGATCGCACGTGTTACAAAGTGTGTCGCCGAGGGTGTACTCACCGAGTTCATCAACGTCGACGTCAAGGGCGAGATCCTCGACCTCAAGCTCACCGTCAACAACATGGTGCGTCAACTCAAGACGCTCTCCGACGAGATCATCCGCGTCTCGGTCGAGGTCGGCACAGAAGGTCGCCTCGGCGGTCAGGCCAAGGTCAACGACGTCAAGGGTCAGTGGCAGGTGCTCACCGAGCGGGTCAACATGATGGCCAGCAACCTCACCACGCAGGTTCGATCCATCGCCACCGTCACCACCGCCGTCGCCCGCGGTGACCTCAGCAAGACCATCAACGTCGAGGTGCGCGGCGAGTTCCTCGACCTCAAGTTGACCGTCAACAACATGGTGGAATCCCTGCGAACCTTCTCGTTCGAGGTGACGCGAGTCGCCAAGGAGGTCGGTACCGAAGGCAAGCTCGGAGGCCGCGCCACGGTGCTCGGTGTTGGCGGAACCTGGAAGGACCTCACAGACTCGGTCAACACCATGGCTGCCAATCTGACCCTCCAGGTGCGAGCCATCGCACACGCCACCACCGCCGTCGCGCGCGGCGACCTCACCCAAAAGGTCACCATCCCCGTCTCCGGCGAGATGCTCGACCTGGTCAACACCATCAACAACATGATTGACCAGCTCAGCTTCTTCGCCTCCGAAGTCACGCGTGTCGCTCGCGAAGTGGGCACCGAGGGCAAGCTCGGCGTGCAGGCCCAAAAGAAGGACATCGAGGGCACCTGGGGCGAGATTACGGACAACGTCAACATCATGGCCAACAACCTCACCTCGCAGGTGCGTGCCTTTGCCCAGATCACCGCCGCCGCCACCGACGGCGACTTTACCCGCTTCGTCACCGTCG